AACAGTGTCTCCATGCAAATGAATATTTGAACTTGCAGAAGTTCGCGCTTATGTATAGGAAAAGCAAATGTTCAATGTCCATGGCTCTGCATGAGGTTATTAGATATGCTTGTTTGAGCAGTCAACAAGTGTAGTTTACCAGCATGTAATGCTGGTACACTACACTTGCTAGCAGGCTCAGTGAGGCCATATGTGCCAGCAATCCCGACAGAGCAGTTGGGAGTTCTGTTACCGCATAGGCTTCCCACTGTAGAAGTGCAGTGTGATATGAAGTAGCCTAGTTAAATCCAGAGTATAATGCAAAAGTGTGCCTAAATTGTAAACTGTAATGTAAAATTATCGATCATGTCATTCGTTCTCGGCACCCACAGACCCTCATACTGCCTTTGTAGAGTAGTTAGAAAATATTTGCTTGGGGCAAATCTAAGAGGCCATTGTAATGGGTATGGGTGGAGAGGGATCTGTAAATGTGGTGCAGTCAGCATTTACGTAAAGCAGCATTTTTGTTTTCAGATTAACGAAAAGATGACTGATTAACAAAAAGATGATGATGAAAGTACAGAAATGAGCTTGTCATTCATATTTGCAAAGTGAACGGAAATATAGGGAGGAGCATTTAGACTTAATATTTAACTGTTCCAAGTCATCTCTAACTGCATTTTGTCTGCTTTAACATCCTCCAGAAATCGCTTCAAATGTTAGAACAGGTAGGACCACCACTGCATTAGTTATAAAGAAAAGAAAATCTTTCATGAAACATGCTTCTGTAGCCATATACGAGGCTTTCATATGATCAGGTCATCTTAGCTCCAGCTCCTTTGCCTTGGCCTCGTAGTGTCAAGGCATGCAGATATTTGACATGCGAAAGCCAGCCTGACTTTAACCTAATGCTGCCTCAGTTCAGGAACCATACCTGAAATGTATTTTTTTAACTTTGCTTCACTGCATCCTTCCAGCACCTTTAATGCAGTATGCTCCTTTGCATTGCCTGTGTGAATGATATCACTTTCACTGCAAGTAAAGTGTCGCAAGATTCTCGGCTGCCACAGTTGCATGCAACTGTCAGTTTGTGGAAATTTAAGTGGATGAAGAATTTCCTGTCGATATCAGCTGACAGCAAAGTAAAAATTGAGCTTAGTCTGTTTTGTCTTGCAATACTTGCACACACTTAGCATTGTTAAAGTGACTTGACCACACAAGGTTATCAAGTGCATGCCGGTATTGATTTGACACTTTCTAGCTGTGGTTTAGTGCCTTTGTTTCCTTTCTTGTTTCAGTTAGTTTTGAACAGACTTTGCAACACCCTTGTATTGCATGTGCTTTAATGTATTCCATGCTTTCCTTTTTCGGTTAGCGTATAGAAAAGTGGTTTACTCTGGCTTTGCTCTTTGTTTAAATGCTTTTGTGTGTATCATTGGTCTTTTTGTGGCTTTTTTTTGCATCCTGTTTGTCCTGCATTAGCATACTTCTCTATATCGCACTGATTGTTTGTGTACAAACTGTGTGTGTACTTGTTTTCTGCTTGTGTAATGTGAAAGCATGTGGGTTCTACAGCTTCTCACTCTTCTCCAGCCTTCTATTTGTACCCTGCTTCTACTTTTTTTTTACCTCGGAGTTTCTCACTAGGGATTTACATGGCTGACTAATGCTCTGCGGAGCAAACGTTTTCACCTGTGCTATATGGGTTAACTCTAGATGTCAATGTTCTTTGGAGAAAGGCCAGTGCAAGTGGTAAAATACCATTCCATTGAAATGTGGGCCAATGCAAACTGCACATTACTTCAGCACTGTTCGCCACTTGTCACAGGTTCAGTGCTAAGTGCTTTGAATGAAATATGACTGATGAAGAAACTTTTTTAGGAATCATGTCCTGTTTGGAGTCCATTCAATGAATGCAGTAGACCCACAGTGAAACTGATGTGGACACTGCCAGTGCAATGAAGCCTGCCTGTGCCTGACATGGTTGACTCTCCATAACTTTGTCAATAAAGTTATGGAGAGTCAATGTTCTTTGGAGAAAGGCCAGTGCAAGTGGTAAAATACCATTCCATTGAAATGTGGGCCAATGCAAACTGCACATTACTTCAGCACTGTTCGCCACTTGTCACAGGTGCAGTGCTAAGTGCTTTGAATGAAATATGACTGATGAAGAAACTTTTTTAGGAATCATGTCCTGTTTGGAGTCCATTCAATGAATGCAGTAGATCCACAGTGAAACTGATGTGGACACTGCCAGTGCAATGAAGCCTGCCTGTGCCTGACATGGTTGACTCTCCATAACTTTAATCTTTACAGTTTTATTATTGAAGGGCCCAGTCTCCGCTGCTTGGACGGCAAGGTGCATGTAAGATTTCCTTGTTAACACAGCTTTCTTTGCGGTTTCCTTTCTTGTGGCTGGTGTGTGTGTGTGTGTGGAAAGTAAACTATGGGTTAGGTCTGTGTGTTTGCCGCTCTGTAGTGTGTCCGAGTGGTCACGTTTGTCTATAGGGGGCACAGAGTAACCAGCGGCAAAAACTTAACACATTTCCGATATCTTAGTTTTACTGTGATTTGAGCCTTTAAGGAGCACAGTGCTGCATCCCTTCAATGGTGTCGTTGATGGAAATCTTGGTCCTTTTGCCTCATCGTGTGGTGTAAACAGGCAGTGCAGTGTGCAATGAGCTCATATGAGAGTTGTGATGGCAGTTTGTCATGTCGAAGTGCAAGTGACCAAGCAAAAACTCAGTAGCCATTGGGGTGGGGATATAATGTGGCCAAGGTGTGTTATGCTGCATGTTCACTGGTATGTGATGCATTAGCACACAATTGGCTTTGGAATGCATGTGCAGTCATTGTGAAATGTTTGAGTGCCTGTTCATTGCAGTTTAATTCAGAGCTCGATCTTATGCCTGTAAATGTGGAAGTTTCATAGAATTCTGCTCATTAAAAACAAATGTTGGCTGGCTGGTGACTCTGTGCCTTTAATGAGCAGTTCTGTTTGAAGTGTACTCTTACTGCCTGCTACTAATGTCAGCTTTTCTCCAATCCTTTGTTTAGGGTGAAGATTAGACATCAAGGACAACCACCACATCACCATAACCACCGCACCCACCACATCTGTGACTAGTGTCTTTTTTTTTCATCGGTGCCATCGTGTTTTTTTTTTTTCAAACTCCATTCAATTCTTCATTGAACACTGCATGCATTGGATGCAAAATGCCTTCCAATGGCATTTTCATGCTTGGCATCATACATGTGGTGTTAATTAAAGGACTGATCTGCAGTGTAGTCTATGTGGTCTTCTTTTTGTTTCCGATAATGAGGTCTAAGGCTTCTTTTATTGACATAAGCATCTATATTCTGGTAAAGAAAGCTTTTTTTAAGGAGCTGCATATTATCATGTTATACCGAAACAGAAAGCTGTAATTAATAGTACACAAGGACATCAGGATGGACCGAGCACCACCCGTAGGGGCTTCTACATAAGCAGGCGTTTGGTGCGTAGCGACATCACGTACTTGAGCAAACGGGGGATGGAGGTTGTTTGGCATAACCCTCCGCCGCTACCTAGGCAGACTCCAACCGGGCCATCGGGCGTGGTGGCTGCCCCCGTTATAGAAGCAGCCAAGTCTGTTGCACCTACCAAGCCACAGACCCAGGCGAAGTTGTAAAAATGTAGCAGCAGCTGGCGTACGCGGGCATCCAGTTGCTCACATGGGGCAACGGACACCACACGGTACCTCAGGTGCCGGAAGTGCGGCGTGGCTTCCTAGAGGGCTCTAAGAAAACCAGGAAACAAATATGAGGGCTTAACGACGGCCTTGCTACTTGAGCTACAACTTCCCGCTTCTGGCGAATTTCAGCAAAATGACAAGAGTAGATGACAGGGCCACTCGACCTGCCACTGGAATGCGCGGCGCTCCCGAAGGGCAGGTGAGAAGGTGACATATTCCAAGCCCCGGCATATTCTTTGTGGGGCAGCAGCAAAATACGCGTGAAATGTGTCGGTCACATTTTCCCAATACCTAGTATGCTTGTGCAATGACTCATTCGGCAAACGTCCAGCTCTCATCGTAGCCATCCGTACGAAATAGCGGTGTTCGGGTGCCTCGCGGTGTCAAATTACACGTGGTTGCCATTGCCGCCGCGCTCGGCGGCAGAAGCAAAATTCGGAGGCTGTGACCTTCAAGGACCACGTGACTTCTACTGCGCCTACTTCGCTTTTCAGGCGAGTGCACTGCAAACTGCCCCTGGCTGCTCTCGGCGCAGTAAAAGCACTCTCGCTCTACCGATGGATAACTGCTCCTGTACCTGTACGACCACTGAAACGCGCCGGCTCTGAAGAAAGCACTTTACGCGTGCTTTTAATTTATAATGCAATGTCACAGGACATCTTACCAACCTCGACGATGTGCAAGAACTTGTATACACTGACTGAAAGTGCTGTGTGTACAGTAAACACTTCAAATCTGAACATACCAACCTTCTATGCAGTTACATTATTTTCCGCAATAACGCCATGGCATCATTCGGAGGTGTAGCTGTTATAGTTGGGCAAGGGATAACGTGTAAACGTTTAAAACTCCACATTAAAACTCCACAAGTCTCTTGAGGCAGTGGCTCTTCGAGTGGTGGTTCTCAACAAACTCGTCACCACCGCCACATTTCCAACTGCATGAATTCCAGTCCTTGATAGATGAACTTCCCGAACCCTATCTTGTCCTATGTGACTTCAGTGCGCATGGTACTTACTCTATGGGGAGACTCGTTGCGCCGCGCGAGGTTGCTTGATCAAACAGTTCCTTTTCTATTCTGACGCCTGTCTTCTGAATCGGAAAGAGCTTACAAATTACCCAGTGACAACAATGACATGCTAGGGACTTTCACAGGACACTCCTAACTGCATATCGGATATCCATTGCATTTCCAAAAGAACAGCAGTGGACATCTCTTGCAGCCTGAACCCAGGTTTATCCCTTGCAAGTCCCAAACTAGGAGGATATATATAAAAAAATTGCTGGAGTGGAGGGAGCGCTCTTCAAGTGAAGCCAGCGCCGCCATGTTGTGGTGGGCAGAAAGCTCGGCTCGGCTGGCTCGGTGGCGGCCAGCGCTGCCAGTTCACCTGCAGCGACGGTGGATTGCGGTTCGTGCGCCTGTCTTTCCTTGACAAGTGTGTCTCTGCAGTGCATTCGAATGCGTGCGGCTCGATTCAAGCGAGCATGGTACAATCCTGCGTAGCGTATGGGTGCACAAATCGCGCGATTCCTGCTTCCAAGATCACATTTCACAGGTGCGTACTGAAAGCACGTAGTGCTTATGCGGTCTAATACGGCTGACTCGTGTTTTTCATTGGTAGGCTTAAGGAATTAATATTTGGAAATTATTGGCAGGTTTCCAAAAGATGCTGAGACACGGAACCTATGGGAGCGAGCTGTGCGTCGTGAACACTGGAAACCGACAGATAAAGATCGCCTTTGCTCTGCGCACTTTGATCCGGCGTGTTTTGACCGGACCGGACAAACAACAAGGTTGAAAGCGGGAAGTGTGCCGACTTCGTTCGCTGCTTTTCCTGCCCACCTCCAGGCACCGGTAAGCATCGGAACTTCGCAGATATAGTGCTCTGACATCAAGGAGGTTGGAATGACGTAGACATATCTCTTCTGTCGTGTTTTGTCGACGTGACTGCATTGCTGCGTGTTTCCTCGCGAGCTTTTCGTCCCGTTCGCTCGTTTACAATATCGCTCAACACACGATTAGCGCATGATCATTGTCGAATGTTCCCGAACATGCTTTCGTGAATACATATATTCATGTTATGAGCAATAATTGAAGTATATATATCATTCTAAAAGTAGTTAATTTCCACTATGTGCTTATTTCAGGTGAAAAGGAAGCGGCCAGCACCAAAACCTCGAGGATGCAGTCCTGCTCAGCAGCAAGAGGCCTTAAATACTGAAGATCATGTCACTGTATCACCATCAAAGCAGTGGTACAAGACGAAGTTGCAGGAAACAGAAGACGAAAGATTGCACTTGAAGAAAAAAATTAAAACGTTGCAGCAGAGCAAACGAAGGCTGACACAAAAGAAAATCACCGCTGAAGGTGTGCCATCCTACAACCAGAGGACCACGATTACACAGACCGAATTGACTATCCAGAGAGCCTCTCCACATTCGTTTGCTCTGTCGTGCCTTACATTGCAGGCTTTGTCGCTCGCAAAATCGCTACTACAAACACCTGTGAGTTGTGCATAGAAGCTCTTCATGGAGCGGATACATCTCTATTGGTGAGACAAAAAAATCGAGGTGGACTCTTTTACCCTTCCGAAGACGTTGTGTCACTGTGCGAAACAGCGGAAAAGGGGCTGCGTCGACTGCAGGCTTCCACTCAATGCCTTAAGAACATACATGCCAATACCAAACAACTAGTCCTGGAGATTTTGAGTCAATCACTGGAAAAGAGGTGGTTTTCACAATTGGAACAACATCTTTTTGACGTCGACGTGTTGGACAACCATATTTACAACTTGAGCAAGCAAGTATTGGAGCTGTACATCAAGATCAGGCTGCACCACATGACAAAGGAACGAAGCCGGGAACTCGTGAAAGACAAAGTTAGGTCTTTGCTTTCAAGACTCGTCATTTTTAGGAATCAGTCAAACAACTTTGCCATAACGTTCATGTTGGCTAAAGGCTGAGAAAGCTGTACAAATAAAATTTTAACACATGAAAAACGAACCGTTCTGTAGTCTCTTTAAATACTGCCAGTGTATCGGCGACTATGTGAGCACGTTTTTACTTCTCTAGCAGCAATCATTTGCGAAAAAAAAACGGCCGCGGAAGTGCACTATATGCTACGCGGCCGCCTTCCTGCCCACCACAAGATGGCCGCCGCCGGCTTCACTGTGCTCTATGGGTAAGTATAGGCGGCTTCCACTCCAGCAATTTTTTTATATATATCCTCCTAGGTCCCAAACAAGTCACGAAAGACACGCTGTGCACGTGAGTGGGAGATTAAGGGGCGTCTTTTATTCAGGGTGTCATCTAAAAGCCGTCTTCTGTAGTCTTTTTCTTTACTCTCTGAAGTTGAAATGTAAGAAGTTCGAGGTATGAATAAGTTTTCCTGCGCTTTCAGATGCTAAATTAATTAGTTTCAGTTTTATTGAGCATTTTCTTCACAGAGTTGCGGAAAGAAAACGCAAGGATAAGAGCAAAAAGCTGCTATGTTAGCAGCTTGACGAGGCTCCTACCCCTTTCCACTTGGCATTACAAATCTGCAGAGCACAAACATGAGAAAGCAATTTGACGACGATTTTCATACTTCAAGAAATTAGGAAATAAAGAAGGGCATCAAATTACATCAGTTTCAGGTTTATGTAAAGGAAGCAAACTACAAAGAGAGAAAAACAAATAAAACAAGAAAACAGCGTACGGTCAATCATGAAACAATGCACACGTTGCTAAATGGCTAACAAAGAATTACAATATGATTATAAAACGTTTACAACAATGGTTATGCGAAAAGCACGAGTTTTGATGTACAAGGGAAACACTGGCGAGTGCAATGTTACATGTTTTACTCAGAAAAAAAAATGGCGAAGAAAGCAAACATCATAGGATGCCATGTTACACACCAGCACTATTATAGGGTGTTTTTTTTACGTATAGTATTTTAGCCGGACAATTAGAAGAAGCTAAACTACACGCCGCCATTCTGGATGAGAAGCTTCTTAAGTTGTTTTTTATGTATATTAAATATGACGATGTTTTTATTTTCAAATATGTTAAAACTAGCAGGAGTAGTGTACAAGTCTTCACAAACCATGATTAGTTCGCGAATAAAGAACGAACCAGAAAGGCCTTTTCCGAATGTCATAATGGGATTGTGTAGTTTTCCTGAGGTTACACAGTTTAAGAAAACAAGCGTTGTTTGATAGCAAGCTTTGTTTGTATTTCATAATAAGGTTAAAGCTGTGTATGTGATCGATCGGTAAAATGTTATATTCTCTGAATAAATCACTTGTACGTGCGTCGTATGGTTCGTTTGCAATATGACGAATCGCTTTTTTTTGCAGTAAAAATATTTTGTTCCGATTTTCTTCAGATGTATCTGCCCACACTAGACTACAATAGTTTATGTGAGATGAAAACAACGTACTATGTAGTAAATGTTTAATGTTTGCTGAAAGCATCTGTTGTAGTTTAGAGAGTGTACCACACGTCCTAGCTATATTTCTAGTTACTTTATTAATGTGTTCGTCCCAATTAAGATTTTCATTAAAATTACTCCTAATGATGAAACGTCTTTGACAACCCCAACTTTTTCGGGCCCTAGGTGCATATCCAAACCACGACAGACAGCCTTCTGAACCGGTGCGAATACCACAGCTTTGGATTTTTTTTGTGTTGATCATTAAATAATTTGCAGTACTCCATATGAAGATGTTAAGAATGTTGTTGGCTGTGTCGGCAAGCTTACCCAAATTAATACCATGAAAAAATATACTAGTGTCATCTGCATAAATTATAAAGTCCGCATTTGTTGACACTTGTTATGTCGTTTATATAAATATTAAGCAGTAGGGGCCCTAATATGCTGCCCTGAGGTACACATTACGTTATGGTTAGTAAGGAGGATTGGCTGTCATTTATATCTACAGATTGCTTTCTTTGTGATAAACACGATTTCAGAAAGTAAAGTTGGGTTCCGCGAAAACCATAATGACGCAACTTTGCATAGAGTATTTCCTGGTTGATTCTGTCGAATGCTTTGGATTAGTCAATAAAAACACCCAGTGTTAACAGTTTTTTTCAAATGAGTCAAGTATTAGTTGTTTTTATGTGAGGAGAGCCAGTTCCGTGGACATGCCCCGTCGGAAGCCGAATTGGTGCGGTGATAATAATATTTAGAGTAATTTTCACAAAAATACATGACACGTTGATAGACAGACAGGCAAAGAACTTTATTGGGTCCTGAGAAACGCTGCTCCTTCAGAGCAACGTCGCGGGCCGCTCCCACGTAGGAACGGGGGGGCCTAGCCTCACCACCGCGTCGTGGGCTCTCTGGACAGCCCGTAGTTGTGGTAGCAACTCTGAACTTCGTAAGGCAGAGTCCCAATCTTCTTCTGTGAGCCGACTTGGGCCCCGTAACGAGGGGCACTGCCAGAGCATATGTGCTAAGTCACTAACCTCAGCACAATCAGGACAGGTAGAGTCAAAAGCCTCTGTGGAGAATATGCTGAGGAAAAATAGGCTTAGATAGGACCTGGTCTGGAGCATTCTAAACGTGATGCCTTGAGGTCTAGACAACTTGTGTGGTGGAGCAAATGACCGCCTACTCAACTGGTAGTGTTTAGCCACTTCATTGAATGTAGGTAAAGCGTCCCTGAACATCTCACTGCCAACCTGCGGACCTACGTCCTCCCCAGCGTGGAGGGTTAGTGCGCGCGCCCGGGAGTGAGCAGTGTCATTCAAGTTTACTTGAGAGTCCAGTAGGGGTTCGAGATGTGCAGGAAACCAGGTAATGGTATGTGGAGAAAGTGTCTTATTTTCAAGTAGTTTAAATACATCAGTACAGACAGAACGAGAGGTGAAAGCCTTGACCGCTGGCCTTGAGTCGGTGAAGATTTGCGATCTACTGTCATCCAAAAGGGCAAGGGCTACAGCCAACTGTTCGGCTCTTGAAGGAGTAGAGTCCCTAACTGACGCAATATTGATAATAGAGCCCATATGATTGACGGAAATAACATAAAACCTAGCTGAGCGACCGTACTGAGTGGCATCGAAAAAACAAACTGAATGAGGATCGTTCCTGATGTTCAGCCCGGTGCCTTCCTACGTTGTGCTGAGGATGGACGTTTCGCGGAAACGGAGAGACCTGGATGGCAGTACGCTGTTAATCTAGTAATTGGATACGGTGATCTTCTACGAGCGCTGGACTGAGGCCTAGGACGGACAGAATGTTCCTACCAGCCGGCGTAGACGACAGGCCCATTAGCTGTGTAGTCTCTTGGGCTTCAATGATCTCATCTAAGGTGTTATGAACTCCTAGCTGCATAAGCCGTTCAGTGCTTGTTCGCACGGGGATGCCCAACACCCTCTTTACGCTTTTTCTGATTAGAGTTTCCAGCTTATTCTTTTCGAATCCATACGAAGAGTGCATGGCAGCGACGTATGTTATGTGGCTCATGAGGAATAAATGAAAGAGCCTCAGTAGATTGTCTTCTCTGAGTCCCCCCCCCCTTCTGTTCGATTAGATTTGTGGGGTTTAACGTCCCAAAACCACCATATGATTATGAGAGACGCCGTAGTGGAGGGCTCCGGAAATTTTGACCACCTGGGGTTCTTTAACGTGCACCCAAATCTGAGTACACGGGCCTACAACATTTCCGCCTCCATCCTTTTTCTGTTCGAAACCCTATTAATCAACCTGATCATGTTCTCGATCTTGGTTGAAATCTTAGCGATGGTTTGTCCGTTGTACCCGTGCGACTCTATAATCATGCAAAGCACTCTAATAGCGTCCACTCTCGGAATGGGGGCGCCACTTCTGGTAAGTACAATGTCTACCTCTGATAAAGGCTTCCAGTTTTTTGGACTGGCTCCTTTTCTATTGGGCCTGTATAGAAGCAGCTCCGATTTACTCGAGGAGCACCTCAGCCCTGTGCCAGCAAGGAAGAGCTCTGTCTGATCGATAGCTTCCTGGAGTGCAGTCTCGACTTCCCCTTCGCTACCTCCGGGACACCAGATGGTGATATCATCAGCGTAAAGCGTATGGTTGATGCCCTTCACGTTGGATAGCAGTGTAGACAACTTGCATATAGCGATGTTAAAGGGAAGCGGAGATATCACAACTCCTTGCGGCGTGCTTTTAGCGCCCTGTGCTATGGGAGAGGACGTGAGGGCTCCGATATTGAGCGTGGCCTCTCTGGATTCGAGAAAGGAGCTGACGTATCTGTGGAAGGCTTCGCCTAGTCCAAGGTCTGAAATGGAGCTTAAGATGTGCGCGTGAGAGATGTTGTCCAACGTTTTTTCCAAGTCAAGACCCAGGATGCCTCTTACGTCCCTTATGTTCTCGTCTATAATTTGATGTTTGAGCAGCTTCATTGTGTCCTGTGTGGACAAAGACGGACGAAACCCAACCATGTTCTAAGAAAAAAGATCTTTCTTCTCGATGTACTTAGAGACACGGTTGTAAATGACGTGCTCTGCCACCTTGCCGACACAGGACGTTAGCGATATGGGCCTTAGATTGCCTAAACCTGGAGGTCGCCCCGGCTTGGAAATGAAGACAACCGATGCCATTTTCCTAGAGTCTGGGACAGAACCTTCTCTCCATATGCGATTTATCTCATCGGTAAGGAAATTGATGGATTTGTCTTCCAGGTTCCTGAGGGCCTTGTTCGAGATGCCATCCGGCCCCGGAGCCGATCGTCCATTACGGGTTTGAAGAACTTCCTAAACGTCGCTGGTGGTAAAGGGCTCTCCGAGCTCGTTGCAAGGGGGTCCAGTGTAAGGCGGATAGTCTGAACAGCTCGAGGAGCCAATCGGTAAATATCTGTGAGCCAAACCATCCAGTATAGCGTCCTCAGAATCAGACTGTCTTGCGGCATGTATCAGTTTAGCAAATGCTTGCCTTTGATTACTCTTG